AAAGTCCTGAGTCTCATCCATACCACCCCAGATGGTGCACATCTCACTCATTTAGTTTTATAAAGCTCCTCCACTCAATACCTATTACTGTAGTACCATGTGTCCACTTAGGGCACTCAGTTAAATACAGTTTGGCGAGAATATATCCTGGCGTGTCCATCTGGGAACTTCGCTTATATACGGTCCAGCTCTAACCAGGAAATAAGAAATGCTATATCACCATCGTTCTTAGAGATGAATAGTACCTCCATGTACAATACACTTATTAATCCATTCTGATTGATGCACTGGGGTCGTTTCACCGACAGCCTGCAGTTATGAATTGTGCTGCTATAAATATCGGTGCAGGTGCTTTTTTGTAGAGTGTCATTGATCTGGTAGACCACCAGCAATGGATGCTGGACAAATGCGTAGATTCACTGTATCGCTTAAGGTATCATCCATAATTGCTTTCCACCAGAGTTGAACATTTCAGTCCACCAGCCAAGCGTAGGAGTGTCCTTCTCGCAACCATGCCCAGCATTTATTGTTTGAATTTTTGATAAGGCCATTCTCACTGGGTTAGACAGCCATTGAACTAATCATATCATTTGATAGGATAGCACTGGATAGCCATGTGGTTTTGATTTGCCATCTGATATAGGGATGGCTTTGAGCATTTTTTCATAGGTTAGGGGCCATTCTCTGTCTTCTTTAGAAAGTCTCTGTCAAGTCCTTTGCCCACTTTTAATGGGTTATTGATTATCCCTGATTCGTGAGTTCTAAGTATATTCTAGTATCGACCTTATCGGATGCATAGGATGCAAAATTTTCTCCCATACGTAAGGTTGTCCTGTTTACTTCATGACTATTCTTTGGCTGTGCAAGAGCTTGGTAGTGATCATGTCATATATTTGTTGCTGCGATGATGCCTTGGGGACTTCTTCATAAACTCTTTGCCCAGCCGATGGTCTAGGAGAGTATTCCCACTTTTCCTCTAGAGTTCTAATAGTTTCATACTTAGGTCTTAAGTCCTGTTATCCAGCGTCGAGTTGTTTTGTGAGAGGGAAGGTTGGTCCCTGTTTTAGCCTTCTGCAGGTGGCTATCCAGTTTTCCCAGCACCATTATTGAAAGGATTCTTTTCCCCAGCGTTGTGTGTCTAACTGATGTCAAAGATAGATGGCTATATAGGAGTTTTATATCAGGCATCTCACATCGTTCCACTGGTCCATATCCTAATTTGTGCCAATACCATAATTGATATATGCTGCAGCTTGAAGATAGTGTGATTCTGGCATATTAATGCCTCCCATTTGTGTGGCCTAAATTGCTCTTGATATTCGAGGTCTTTGTTCCATACGAAGCGTAAATTATTTTCATATCTGGGAAGTATCTGAATGGGATTTTAATAGTATGCATTGAATCTGGTGACAGTGGGTAGTATAGAATTTTAATGATTTAGTGTGCCGATCCACGTGCATGGTATGGATTCTATCTGTTACACTCCTCTGCTATTTCCTTCTCAGTGTCATAGTCCCTGTAAAGGTCTTTTACCATCCCTTGGAAGAATATACCTAGGTACTTTAATTTCTTTGTTGCATTGTAGGGAATTGAAAGTCTGATTTGGTTCTCAAATTAGATTGTTGTCGGCATATATTAACATGCCTCTGATTTCTGTTATTGATTTGTATCCGAGACTTTACTAATATTGATCCATCCAGGAGTTGTCTTGGTTGATCTTTGGGTTCTCTAATACAATAACATATCATCAGAACCAGTGAAAGTTGATCTCTTCTGCCCTATTTGATACCTTGATTCCATTTCCTGACTGATTGCTGTAGCCGAAGACCTCCAGCACGTATGTGAAACAGAAGTGGAGATAGTGGGCAGCTTGCTGATTCCAGTTTAAGTGGGAATGATTAAATTTTTCCCCTATTCAGTATGATGTTGGCTATGGTCGTGTATATATGGCTTGGTATCGATTTTAGTATGCCCCTTCTATGCTATTTTCTTAAGTGTTCGTATCATGAAAGGGTGTTGAATTTGTCAAAAGCTTTCTTGCATCTATTGAAGAATCATGTGGTCTTGTTTTGCTTCGTGTTAATGGTGAATTGAATTTATAGATTTACATGTGAACCATCCCTGCAACCCTGGGATGAAGCCCTTGGCCTATGGTGGATTACTTTTTTTGATAACGTGGTCCCTGATTCGGTTAGCTAAGATTGTTGAAAATTTTGCCATCTATTCATAGGATATTGCGTCTCTGTAGTTTCTTTTGTTGCATCCTTCCTGGTTTGGTACTCAGAGTATACTTCCTTAAAAAGGTGTCGGAGGTTCTCCGTCTTCTCCGATGTTGTGGAAATGTTTCTGCAAGATAGTTATAGTTCTTCTTGTAATGTGGTAAAATTCAGTGGAAGCCATCTGGACCTGGACTTTTTTTAGGGAGATTTTAATTGCCTGTTTCATATTCAGCTGTTGAGATTGGTCTGTCCAGGGAATCTATTTCTTCTGGTTGAGCCTAGGGAGCTGTGTGTTTCTAGAAATTTGTCCATAATTCCTTCCACATTTTCCAAGTTTCGTGCATAAGATTGTGTAAGTATCATAAATTGTATCTGTAACTCTTTGGGATCAGTTTGATGAATTTCCTTTTGTTGCCTGAATGGAGATTAGAGATTCCTTTTCCTGCTTGGCTGCTCCAGTGGTCTCAGCCTCCAGTTCTCCTCCGCAGCCTCCTCCCGTGGAGTCTCCCGGGGTCTCAGGTACCCCTCCTTCCGGCCCTCGTCCGCTGTATGCTCGTCTTCTTGCTTCTTTCCTCTTATTTCTGCTAGAATCTGTCTTTTCTGCAGAGACACTCTGGGGGTGTTATTCGTCCGCCATCTTGCTCCACCCTCCTCCCTAATTTTTAAAAATAGCTTTTCTGAGGTGTAAGAAAAACATTCTTGGATTCATATACAGTTAACCCTTGAACAGCACAGGAAAGAACCACATAGGTCCACTTATATGTGAATTTTCTTCAGTAAATATATTAATACTAGAAAGTTTTTTGGAGAGTTGCAACAATTTGAAATAGACAAACTGCATAGCCTATAAATATTGAAAAAAACTTTTAAAAGGTTAGGTATGTCATGAATGCATAAAATATATGTAGATATAAATCTATTTTATCATTCACTACCATAAAATACACATAAATTATAAAAAGCAAAAATTTATCAAAACGTACATACATACAGACCATATATGGCACCGTTCATAGTTGAAACTGTAAACAAACATAGAGATGCAGTATTAACTGCATAAAGTTAACTGCAGTATATATTGTTCTACTGTAATAATTTCGTAGCCACCTCCTGTTGCTATTGCAGTGAGCTCAAGTGTTGTCAGTTTAAAACATCATGTGATGCTAATCATCTCGATGTCAGCAGTTTATCTGTCCAGCAAATTGCATATCACAGTAAAAAGTGTGATCTCCAGTGGTTCTTGCATGTTTTTCATGTTGAGTGCAATACTGTAAACCTTGAATAACACCCACACCAAGTGCCACTAGTGATTCTAGAAGTGTTTCCAAGAAGCAGAGAAAAGTCATGACATTACAAGAAAAAGGTGAATTGCTTGATATGTATGGTAGAGTAAGGCCTGCAACTGCAGTTGCTCACCATTTCAAGATAATGAATCCAGCATAAATAAGGACCATTGTTTAAAAAAAAAAGAAAGAAAGAAAAAGAAATTAGTCCAGCTGTGGTGCCAGCAGGTGTGAAAAGCTTGTACTTTTTGTGAAATACCTTCTTATCTGGTACTGAAAATGCAGCTTTTATGTGGGTGCAAAATTGCTGTAAGAAAGGCACACCTATAGATTCTAATATGGTTTGTGAAAAAGCAAGGTCATTATAAGACAACTTAAGGCAAAAGGAAAGTGAAGGTTCTGAAGCTGGAGAATTTAATTCCAGCAAAGGATATTTAATAATTTTAGAAAGAAATTTGGCTTTAAAAAAAACGTCAACATAACAGAAGCAGCTTCTGCCAACCAAGAGGCAGCACAGAAGTTCCCAGACACCATTAAGAAACATCATTGAGGAGAAAGGGTATCTTCTTGAACGGGTTTTTAATGCAGACAAAAGTAACCTATTCTGGAAAAAAAAAAATGCTACAAAGGACATTTATTAGTAAGGAAGAGAAGTGAGCACCAGGATTTAAGGCAGGAAGGAAGGGACTAACTCTACTGGTTTGCACAAATGCAGTTGGGTTTATGATCAGGACTGCTTTTATCTATAAAGCTGCCAATCCTGAGCCTTGAAGGGAAAAGATAAACACTGACTGCCAGTTTTTTGGTTGTACAACAAGCCTGGATGACGAAAACCCTTTTTCTAGGTTGGTTCCATCAATGCTTTGTCCCTGAAGTCAGGAAGTACCCGGCCAGTAAGGGTCTGCGTTTTAAAGTGCTTTGGATATTGTAAAATGCCCCTGGCCACCCAGAACCCTGTGAGTTCAATACCAAAAGCATCAAAGTGGTCTACCTGCCTGCAAACGCAGCGTTTCGAGCTCAGCTTCTAGATCAGGGGTCCTAAGGACCGTTAAGGCCCATTACACACCGTGCTCTATGGAAAGGACTGCCAGCACTCTGGAGGAGAGCCCTGATAGAGAGCACGTGTGAGGGTCTCGAAGGATCGCACCATTAAAGATGCCACTGTCGTCGCACTAAAAGCTGTGAGAGCCAGCGGGCCAGAAACAATACATTTCTGCTGAAGAAAACTCTGTCCCGATGTTATGCATGACTTTATAGGATTTACGACTGAGTCAATCAAGGAAATCACGAAAGGGCTGTGGGCATGGCAGCAAGTTGGGGCCATGGAGGTGAAGGGTTTCAAGACATGGAAGCTGAGAAGCGTAAGAGCCGACAGACACCCCGGGGAAGTAGCAGAGGACGGCCTGACGGAGACGAGCACTTCTGACAGCGCCACACGGTAAGAAAGAAGACGCAGACGAAACAGTGAGAAAACAAACTGACGTTAGTCTGGCAGAAGGATTCCAATCATTCAAGACTGCTTTTGACTTCCTTCACAACATGGACCCTTCTATGTACAGGCACCAAGACTAAAACAAACGGTAGGATTGATGCCACACAGAAACATTTCTAGAGAAATGGAAAAGCAAAAAGGCCAGAAATTATGATGCATTTCCATAAAGTGCCCGAGTGTGCCTCCCTCTCCTGCCTCCCCTCCCACCTCCTCCACCTCTGCTGCCCTGCCACCCGGGCGCAGCACGGCCAGCCCGAGGCTGCCTTCTGTTCAGCTGTTCCATATGGGCATGAAGACCTTTATGATGACCCATTTCCACTTAATAGTAAATATATTTTTTCCTCATGATTTTAATAACATGTTTCTCTAGCTTTATCATAAGAACACAGCATGTAATATATATGGTACACAAAGTATGTGTTAAGCAACTCTGTATGTTATTGGTAAGTCAACAGTAGGCTATTAGTAAGAGTAAAGTTTTGGGGGGGCCAGAAGTTACATATGAACTTTCAAGTGCATGGAGGGGAGAGCGCTGGCACTCCTGACCCCTGCATTTGCTCAAGCCTCACCTGTACTCTCTAAGGTCTTTGCCAACTCTAAAACATTAAGTATTTGCATACAGAAGTCATATTTATATAGATTTATATAGATGCACAGCTAAAAGAAGACTCATTAAAAACTTCTCCTTTTCTCTAGACATAGAAAAGAAATGTACATGCACTTTCAGTCATTTGTGACAATGTAGATAGAATAAGATTAACTCCATGTTCTTTCTAAGCTAAGAAAGCTATGTGGCATTTTTACCTCAAGAATACTTATCTTTAGGGAATGTTGTTTGACCTGTATTAATTACAGTAGTTTTATACAGAGTTTCTGTTTTACAACACCGTATAGGATAGAATTCTAGGTAGGTTTCAGGGGCTGACATGGGATATCACTTAACTTTATGGAACTATAAAGAAACTCTACCACCTACAGGTACAAACAAGTACTGAGTTAACTCAAAGTGTGATATGAAGTGCAAAGGTCAAGTGTCCATGTTTACATAGAGCATTAAAAATACTGAATTTATAACTACATACCTTAAACAAAGTACCTTAAACCCAAACAGTTTCTATGAATTTATTTGAAAAGATAAGGCGTAAATAAGGGGACTGATTTTTAAAGTTTAACACATTAACTGCCATGTGAATTGTATTTAAATCACACTAGTTTTGAGCCTGGGGCCTTGTGAAGCATACTCACTCGTCTCTTCACCTTGGGAGTGATGTGAACTATTTTTCAAGTTGCATATAACTCACGCACAGAAAACAATAAAAAATAACCTATTTTTCATTAAATTAGAAAGGAGCATTTTGTTTTAGAAGTTTTTATTCTATTTTCATAATAAACACCGTGGCCCCTAGAAAAGAAATTTTTTGTGGCAGTCAAGTGTGTTAAGGATCAGTGTGTTTCCAGTGATATGTTCAAAAGGAACATCAGGGATGTTTTTCCTGTTAGGAAGTATCAAGATGCCTGGTGCTCAGCTGACATTCTCTAGCAAGGGAACAATTGTCAGTGATGGTTTACACAGAGCAGAAGCTTGCTGTTTGTCGTTCACAGATAACAAATGCTTTTCTTCCCCCTACAGAGAAGATCCAGACAACTTCCTTTTCTGCTACCACGTTACTGCCCACCGTTAAGGTTCTTGTGGTTTACCCATCTGAAATATGTTTCCATCACACAGTTTGTTACTTCACTGAATTTCTTCGAAACCATTGCAGAAGTGAGGTCATCCTTGAAAAGTGGCAGAAAAAGAAAATAGCAGAGATGGGTCCAGTGCAGTGGCTTACCACTCAGAAGCACACAGCAGATAAAGTAGTCTTCCTTCTTTCCAATGACATCAACGCCCCATGTGACGGTACCTGTGGCAAGAGCGAGGGCAGCCTCAGTGAGAACCCGCAAGACCTGTTCCCCCTTGCCTTTAACCTTTTCTGCAGTGATCTCAGACGCCACACGCATCTGCACAAATACGTGGCGGTCTACTTTGGAGAGGCTGATCCCAAAGATGACTACAGTGCTCTCAGCGTCTGCCCCCAGTACCGCCTCATGAAGGATGCCACCGCTTTCTGCTCAGAACTTCTCCGTGTCAAGCAGCATGTGTCAGTGGGGAAAAGGTCACAAGCCTGCCACAATGGCTGCTTTTCCTTGTAGCCCACCCATGAGAAGCAAAGAGACCTTGAAGCCTTCCTTCAGGATCATCACAAAACAAGCATTTGTGATGATCCTGAAGTATACTACACAGCCTGCAAGTAGTCTACTAGTTAAAACATTTTATGCCAATAAAATTCTTGTTACAAATATTGCCAACTAGTGTAGCATTAAGAATTTAAACTAAATTTATAATTATAAAGCTAAAATCATTTTCATACCTACAAATCAAAAAGTTATAATTGAAAACTATGACCATTCTGAAAATGCAGCAATAAAAAGCATCTTCCAACCAATGTTGTCTTGCTAGTACATGCATTGCAACCGCAGGTAGTACTGTTTAGCTTTATAATATTCTAACTTTAATTAATGAATATTAAATTTAAGAAGCCCTCACTAATTCACTCAGCAGCTTAAGTGAAAAATCTATTACATGTAAAAATCTTTATATTTTTAAGGTGACAAAAGTAGGGAATAAGCAAACTGAACCCATCTTTACTGACCAGATGATCTAGTGTTATGTGTAACCACTTGTATTACCTGGTATTTGCACAGGACCGTCCCTCTCCAAACTGGATTCACATCCTGTCTCTTCTACAGGTGGACTTTTAACGTGAACATCAAAATATATTACCTGTAAACCTGCTATCTACTTTTGCCCAAAGTTACCTATTAACTATGTGTCAGAGTTTCTTGGTTATTATGTAATCTTTCACATTCAAAATATAAATAATTCTTAAGTTGAAAGTTAGACCTCTTGAAGTAATCTTTTATAAATGAGTTATTAAAATGGTTTACTTAAATAAAAAGCAGAAACCACCATAGAACATAGAGATATGTGGTTTTTTAAAAAAGTCTTCCCAATTTTTAATTTTTCTAAAAGGATATTTTTCTTAATGCAGAGGGCACATTATATTAATATTAGCAAATACCTCTTTCCGGGAATGCTTATTTCACAGTACAATACTGAATCTGTTCTGGAATATGGATTACTTTCAGATGGATGACTGTTAAAGTGAAAACCAAAACAAGCATAAAGTGCAAACTTAGCATGTCCAGTTTCACAAGCAGATACTTAGTAACAGCTAAGGCATTATTTAATGTGGTAAAACTCAATTACTTGTTATGATCAGTTTTCACAGCACTTGCAAGTGCTGATAAAAGAATTTGACCAGAAACCAACTTCCTTTGAATTAACATCTACCAGTTACAAGAGCAATATGCTGTTAGGTGAAAAACTATTATAAACAGAAATACATTATTATGTTTTTGAAAATAGGTAGCCAATACTAAATTGTGTTGAAATAGCCCAGGAATATAAATAAAAATCAATAATCTATAAAATTATTTCATTAAAAAATTTAAAAAGTAAATAAAAACATACAATTTTCAAATTGAAGGCACATATCCCAAATAGTATTAGATGGTTAAAATTATTTTGTTAAACCGGTGGATTCTCACTTGTTTCTGACCTACTCAGCAGTTACAGAAGATACTCCTATTCATGCAGAATGTTCCAGTAGCAGCATTTCTCCACATCCAAAGACTTTTTCCTATATTCCATTCTTTTTTTTTTTTTTTTTTTTTTAGACAGAGTCTCACTTTGTTGCCCAGGCTACAGTAAGTGCCATGGCACAGCAACCTCAAATTCCTGGGCTCAAGCGATCCTCCTGCCTCAGCCTCCCGAGTAGCTGGGACTACAGGCATGCACCCCCATATCCAGCTAATTTTTTCTATATATATATTAGTTGGCCAATTAATTTCTTTCTATTTATAGTAGAGACGGGGTCTTGCTCTTGCTCAGGCTGGTTTCGAACTCCTGACCTCGAGCAATCTGCCCGCCTCGGCCTCCCAGAGTGCTAGGATTACAGGCGTGAGCCACCGCGCCCGGCCTATATTCCATTCTTACTTCCATCTCTTCTCTGTCCCTGCTCTTGTCTTTGCCCCAGTCTCACCTGCCTCCAGTCTTGATAAGTGGGATGGAGGAGGCAGATGCCTGGCACCAAGTGGCAGAAATCAGCATCCTGTGGTCCTCCCAGGTCTCTGAGCGCCTGCGCTGCGCTCACTGACTGGCTCCTGTCTCTGGATAATGCCTTCTCTTCCCCTTCCTCACCAGGCCTGGGCACCAGCAGTAACAGCTGCCTGTACTACACTTTGACCAGGATGCTTACAGGTGAAGGTCAGCTGATCTTACTGAACATAATGAACTCCAAAAACTTTCATCGGCTTCTTCAAGCAAAGAAAAACTGGGGAGCTGATGATTAAGTCAGTAGTCATTACAGCAGTCACCTAGTTTATCAGCACAAGCTAACAACTCTAAATGATACCTACATCATTTCTATTTGGCTTTAAGAAGGAAAAGAGATTTTTCAGCTTTTCTGTTGGGGCCAAATAATTGAGTTTTTTCCCCAAAGCTCACCCAGTCAGCCCAACTTTAAATCTTTAACTCTAGAAATCTAGACTTGAGTGGGTCCCATTCTTTTTTGTAACCCAACACAAAAACAAAAGCCCCTAAACTTTTCTTTTTCCTATTTGGGATTCCAAGAGGACACATGAGTCACATTACAGGTGCATGTAACTCAGACAACTTTAGATTCTGACTGCTATTCAAGAGGGAAAATGGCATGACCAGAGAGTTCTCACAAGTCAGAGGCTACCCCTCGTGGCTGCATGAGCCTGCTGATGACACTCAGAAGTCAACTTAAATGAAGGGCTCCGCCGTGTGAGAACATTCCACACCAACATTTCACATTCCTGGGAAGTTCATTAGACCCTAGGAAAGGGACAGGTGAGTTTATAACTGAAAATTAAGTTCATATTTATTCCCACATGCCCTGACTATAAAAGTAGCTTATGATTTCAAACCAATGTCATGTCCTCCATATGAATTTGAAATTCATTTATTTTCCATGAAACTTAAGCATCTAGATCAATAATTTAAAATATGTATATTCTGTAAGAGTCTTTTATACCAAGAGGCTTGTTTCTGGTTGTCAACAGTGACCTTTCCTCCCATTTCACCATACAAAAGCAGCCCGCTCCCGCAGCATGCGGACACCAAAGCGCTGCCACTCTCGCTGATAAATCCACAGTTCCTGTGTTGTGTCCAAACAAGCCAGCACTGCCCCTCCTTTCCATGCAATGAGCCTGGGATCCATGTCCTAGAAAGGCGGTAAAGATATTTCACCCTAAGCAGACAAGACATATATTATACTTAATCATATACTTGAATGTGAACGCTAGAAAACCCCTGCTGAGCCAATACCTAGTAGGCCAAGTTTCAAACTGCATTAAAGATAGCAGGACTCTTAGTTACAGACATCCTTCTGTTTCAACTGACAAGAAAACTTTTAAATTTTTATTACTGAAGATGCTACTATTCACTACTATTCCACAAATAGTTAAGGTCCTGTAGGCAGCAACATATATAAAGAAGTAACTTATTTTAAAGTTTGAGTAGAATAAATATATCCTCAAAATCCCTCCCTCAGGATTAAAAAGAAATAACATTTCCAGGAATTGTGAAATTTAATGAAATACAAACACAATTTTTCTAAATTCCTGGGCTTATCTTTCTTTTCAAGATAGTTCAAGCCTTCAGGATAGTTCAAGATCCTTAAAAATCATCTGGTCCAGGGATCCTTGATATAAATGAAAGACTAAAATGGAGCTGTTCTGGCTGACAGGGCAGTCTTCCCCCGGCCCCACCTGGTCCTTTAAGAAAAGTGTGGGGAGCATGGCGGGGAAGAGAAGCAGAAATCCAGGCCCCACAGGCCAGAGCTCCTTCTACCACATCTGTGACCCACTGGAAGTAGTTCTTCCACTTGCCCCAAGCCTTTAAGAACTCCCCAGACATAAGCCCATGCCTCCTGGATTTTATTTGTCCACATACAACATAACAATTAGAAATAATCCTTGCTGGTTTCGTTTGCATACAGTCCAACTTATACCATGAAACAACACACCTTAGGCCTTGTGATCACTTCCACATTTTCAATAATTCGTCTGAATGAAGGTGGCATTTTATTGAGAATTCTGTGTTGCAGAAACTCTTGAGCTTTATGAAACATCAAACCACCTCCCACCACTAGGATGGAGCTGTACATCTTCTTTTTGGTATCATCAGATGCTGAAAAGACAGTGATATTCCTTCCATACCTTTTCTCCACACCCCCGACTCTAGGCTAAGCCACCATCATCTCTTGCTTGGTCAACTGCAATAGCCTTCTCAAAGATCTTCCTCCAACCACCCTCAAACACTGCAGCCGGAGGAACCTGGCAAAGCAGAAATGTGAGCACGCTGCACACTCCACACCCTGCTACTCACAGGATTAAGACCAAAATCTTTAAGGGAGCAGACAAAATCCAATGTAGAGTTGTGGGGTGGTCCTCACCCACTTCTCTAGCCTCATCCCCACCCCTGCTTCTGAGACACACTGGCCTTCATACGCTTCCTCCTCTGCCTGGAACACCACCCCATCTGTGCCCACCAACTCCCCTCACACACAGGTCTCTCTCAAGGGGCTTGTCCTTAAGGAAGGCTTCACTGCGTCCTTCCCCCCATAACTCCCCCTAGGAAGTAAAGATCCCTTACTAACTCCCTCAATCAGAAGCTCTCAGTCAGTACCCTTTAGCTCAACTTTGTTGCATCTTCCTTAGTTGTAATTTCACATTTGTGTAATAATCAGCCTTATTTTGGTCTCCTCCACTAGGCTATATGCTCAATGAGGCCAGGAACCAATTCTATTTCATTACTGTATTCCCAACACTTGTCAAAGCAGGTGCAGGGTAGCTGTTTGGTAGTTTTTCAACAAACATGCTACACTGCACAACTATACGCTAGGCTAAACCAATCATCTAATTGCTAGCTCATACACTGCTGTCTCCCAATCTCCCCAGATGTGCTTACAACAGCAGTCTATGCTGTGAAGGATGGCTTTGTCCAGGCCCAGGGCTTTCCCTTCAAACAGTGAGATGGCAGTCTTTCTGGACATCAGTGCAGTGAGGGCCTCCTCAGAATCATTGCCAGCCATCAGGCAGTCTCCCTGGGAGGACCCCAAATCCACCTCTTGGGAATGAAGTCTTTCTGGAAGATCAGAGGACTGGCCACGAAGATCTTCAAATCCAATGGGTTTGGATGCAGACTTTCGGTCAGCAGTAGCTTTTGCAGACTAAATCAATCAAAAAGACAGTCAGGTAAATGGTATGACTACAACAGAACACTGTTGATGTTGTCTAGCTAAACCCTACCCATCCCTACCCCACTTCTATACACTACTATAAAGTAAAAGCCACCATAGTATATAACAACTGCTTAGTGTTCATTACCAGACAACTTGGGAATGAGAGAGGTAGTGTATAGAAAATGAGGACGCTCTGACAATTCCAAAGCAATCTGGCAGGCAGAGTAGGTCTCTCAGAACCTTATCATCACTGCTTGGATTTTAAGGTTGAAATGTCAACATAGATAGACTTTCTTCCCCTTAAACTGAGTTTTTAAGTAGAATATTCAGGGGGCTTCATGGGCCAGTGGCTGTTATGGAATCCTTGTTTTCAGATCCTATCTATCCACTTCATGCTTGCCTCTAGGGCAGGGATAAAGACTAGAAAAGTCTATTCTTCATCACAAGCTGCTGCTATTTCATTAGGAGATAAGAGCTTTGTTTGTGCCCTTACACCAGGGCACCAGACATCCTATTACTCAGATCAGCTGTCAACAAAGGAATTCAGCTCTTTGCCTATGCCACACACCTTTCACATAGTTAAAAAATAGGTGATATTTACCAAAAATACCACTGGATATTGAGAAGTACATAGTGTCATTAAATAATACACGCCAAAAGGAAAGTGTCTTCATTAAGTTAGCTTTTAAATATAAGGACTGGCGATTGGAAAATTAGGTTAATGTCTGAACAGAGAAACCTGTCATCCAGATTATAAATTCAGACCTCCATTCTTCTCCACTTCTAAAAGCAGCATCAGTGTTGGTATGCTGGAAGACTGCGGTGATTGCAATGATCTAATAATTCTGACAAAACTTCTCCTTCAGGGACAAAACTGTCTTGCTTTCCCACCAGAATGGCTATGGACCTGTTCCTGCTTGCTCTGAGTGGCCAGAAGGTACTGCTCATCGTGAGGGTCCTCAGGATCGCCCTGGGATCTGTGCTGCAAAGTCATCATCTTCTGTCCCACAATTCCAAAAGTTGCTGGGTAAAACAAAGCCATTGGAGCCTGTGAATGGAAGGAAAAGAGTGATCAACAAAAGGTATTCCCTCCTGAAAAAACCATCCCACTGTATTTTGTTCCAAAAACAAACCTGGCAGATCAGAGTCTGTAAGTCAGACAGAGCAGCACGCCCTCTGCAGGGTGGCACTATTTCTTCAGTGCACAGCAGGCCAGACCTCACTCAGCATCCAAATAAATGGGTGCCACGACACCATATGAGAGAAATCTCACGAGCAAATGTAAAGCAAATGCTTCATTACCTAGTTTATAATTTCCTAATAAGAATGGGGCCTCTTGTGCTCGCTTCAGCAGCACATATACTAAAACATAAAACACTAAAATAATACAGAAGAGCATGGCCCCTGCTCATTTAAAAAACAAAAAAAAGAATGGGGCCTCTCTAACAACTCCTCACATAACAGCTAAGATGTTCCTCATTACCTATTTTAATCTGTTCCCTGTGAGTGGCTTAAATGGTTGGTTTGGTGGATAATCTACAACCCGTTTATGTTCTGACCTCACGATGTTTCCAGCAAGTATTTATACTCAGTTTGATTGAACCTGGATGGCTTTCTTTCTACCCATGGAAATATATACCTATATGTTACCTGGAGTTTTTCATCTCCTAATCGAAACTGGTAAAGTAGGGCAGGAGAATCTGGATGTCGAATCTGAAACTCATGGTCCTGAAGCCCAGAGATGTCCTGATTCCGGGAAAAGATGCTGTCAGTGAATCAGTAAGAATGCATGTAAACTCTTCAAATTATGCTCAAGCTTCTCCATTATCTACATATCAATTATAAAAAGGCAACCCTACAATTTTTTTTTTCTAGAGACAGAGTCTCACTCTGTTGCCCAGGCTAAAGTGCAGTGACACCATCATAACTCACTGCAGCCTCAAACTTCTGGGTTCAAGGAATCCTCCTGAGTAGCGACTATAGGTGTATACCACCACACACAACTAATTTTTGTTTTTTATTTTTTGTAGAGATAAGGTCTCACTACTATTGTCCAGGCTAGTCTGGAACTCCTGGCCTCCAGTGATCCTCCTGCCATGGCCTCCCAAAGTGTGGGATTATGGGTGTGAGCCACCACATCCAGCCCACCCTACAATTTTTTAACACTCTCAGTGTAACTTAATAAAACAAGAGTTCGCCTGGGTGCTGTGGCTCACGCCTGTAATCCTAGCACTCTGGGAGGCAGAGGCGGGCGGATTGCTCGAGGTCAGGAATTCGAAACCAGCAAGAGCGAGACCTTGTCCCTACTATAAATAGAAAGAAATTAATTGGCCAACTAATATATATAGAAAAAATTAGCCGGGCATGGTGGCGCATGCCTGTAGTCCCAGCTACTCGGGAGGCTGAGGCAGGAGGATCACTGGAGCCCAGAAGTGAGCTAGGCTGACGCCACGGCACTCTCTCTAGCCTGAGCAACAAAGCGAGACTCTGTCTCAAAAATAAATAAATAAATAAATAAAATAAATAAATAAAACAAGAGTTCAATTATTGCTTCCCTATTTAACATTTCTGAAATTTCCACTATTTGCATTTTTTGTTTTCTTCATTGTCAATATGTATTAATATAAGCAATGACCCAAATCAATAAGCAAATTTCCTCATAACTGGGAAATTTACAGTGTCTTTCTCAACATTTTTAAAATTTAGAATTATATTACCTGAAAAAAGTTTTAAAAAGTCTAAAACAAAAAGCAAAAATGGTGGCAATCCATGTATAATAATGATTAAATACTTACTGTTCATAATACTAAGAAAGTACTTCAAATTAACATTTAATTACATGTTGTACCTATATATTTACCAGCTATATTCATTACACCTAAAAGTTTATCTTCATATTTTATGAGAATAATCAGACTCCTAGAGAGAAAAATTTGCTTAACTCTTTCCGAAAAAAACAAGGTGTGTTTTCTAGAACCTGAGACACATCTTCACCACTCTGATCTTACCAAAAAGCTCTCAGTCCTTAAGAGCTTTAGCTTCAAAGATTTACTAACTTGGATTGAAAGGGTAACATAATATTGTTACCTTTTTAAAGTATCTTTTAAATATCTTAAATTTTTCCTAGAAACAAAAATAATCAGCAATATTGATTTTGCTCCCACCTGATCTAAATGACAAAAAGTTTCTTTAAGGTGCTGCAGAAGAAGGCAGTCCATTTTATTTGTTAATTGGCATTCTCTGTAAGGAAACCCAGCTCGCTGCATCAGCCAGTAAAAACACCTTGACACATCAGATCCCCCATATGCCAGACAGAGCCTAGAGTTCAGAGAAAAGAGCAGATGGTCAATCTGTTGGTTAAGAAGGTACAAAGGGTGTTTCAAGAACTCTAGTAGGCACAGCACAACACAGTAAGTTTCAAGAAAAGCTTAGAGAAAACTATCCACTAACTGAAAGTTTCTACAATTTGGAAAGACCACTGCTGTTATTACTTTAGCAGTAGGAATCCTGGGTCTAGCATTTTCTCAACACTTTGAGTATAATAGACATTAAATAATTCAAACAATGGACGAGCCAAAATAACTCATACTGAGTTTTAGAATGCATTGTGACTCAGGGTGGGAGGTAGCAGAATAACTTTTCACAGACCGTTTGGGTCCTCTTTGAAATTTGTTTCTATACCTTGAGATTCAAACTACCTGATGTGGGGGACAGGAAAAATTAAAGCATCCTCAAGAGGCAGGAAGAAGCCTTATCAAAAGCACAAAATGCTGCAAAGAAACTATAGTTGCACTACCTGAGTATGCTTACTTGTGTCAGGCTTGCCCCAGGAAGGACAAGCAGCAAATCTGCTCGCCACTCCCTCAGCACCGTTACAATGAGAAAGGCAGATACTTTAGCTAGCTAGAGAAGTCAGACCTGAACAAAACCTATTTTCTTCCACATGACTCACCTAACTAAAGCTTTGCTGTGAGGGTGTGATCAGTATCTCTATGCCAAACCACAGCAAAAGATATGAAGCTAATGTTTTCTAAACCACCACACAACACATACCAGGATTTTCAGGAGCTGCTGATGTGAATCCCTATTAAAAAATTCCAATAGGAAGGGTAAAATTGTTTGTTTTATCCTGGCTACAATTTGCATTTCCACAATCTTGCTGGTTTCCCACGAGACTTTTGAATACACAATTCCTTACGATTTCTAACTTGTGATGATTTACAGTTGAAAAGACTGTGAGGGGAGAGGACGGGGGAGTGCCAGCTCCCACGTTCCTTACCGAGTGTTCCGATGAGACACTCCATCTTCCACACAGCAGACACTTGTTTTCTGATCCCCAACATCTACAACACAAGTGCTGCTTAAGCCACTTCCAAAGGTGGCACACACAGACTCCTGATGGACCACGATTCCTGAAGGAAAAAAAACGCAGACAAGTAATCGCACAGCAGTAAAGATCCTAAAACAAATAATCAGCTAAAGTCAGGAGCCTGGAGCCACTGGGCAAGAGTCTTAGCAATGCTGATCCTTTCAGGACAACCATTTAAATAAATCAGTGAATTAGATGAACTTTGTCATTGAAAAGGAGAAAGAAATTCATTTAAAGCAGGTTTCACTGGAAATCAAACATACCTGAAAAACCCATCTTCATTAGTATCATATTCACTAGTTCTTTCACATGCTGTTTATTATAGATGTCAGGAATTAGCAAGATACATCTATAATACTAAAAACAAGAAAAAAAAGACAAAAGGGTTAACACTCAAGTCAAATTTCACCATACTTGTCACTAGAAAGGATTCCCTCCAAAGGAGTAGCACCTGTGGGTAAAGACCGAGAGTAATAGCTCAAACCTCTGTGCTATCCTTTGAGTTATATGAATAAACAGAAAATGCTAACTTCCCCCCCCCCCCTGGAATCATTTAAAACTTGTGAAAGGAAAAATAAAACAATGGATATATTTGAGTAGGTCCAGAAAGAAGGCATAAACATAAGCAAGTTTAGCAATTTTAGAGCAGTAGAGAGACACAATGAAACAGTAAGAAAAAGAGAAAGCACCAGAGAGGAATTAAGTCAAGAAGAAAAGATATCCTCCTTAGAGCTAAGAATGATTCAAGAAGGATACTATATTACAAATGACTCAGTAATGTGTACTTTTATTGACCAAGAATCTTAAAGGCAATCCAAATAACTAAGAATTTTAGCTTACCTTTAAATCTTTCAGTGGGATTTCCAGGTATTTTTGTATTGCATGAGACCATATTACTTCAATATCTGCCAGAACAGCTGTAAGGGAGCCCCCCGGGCCTGAGTGAATGTTTAACTGGCCTCTCCTGATAGGCCAGTGAATATTATAACAGTCCAATGGATTAACATACAAGGCCTGGAAAAGGAGGGAAGGGAGGATGAGGGGATTGTTAAAACTCTTTCTCAGGGTTTTCTGGATTCATATCCAAAAACCTAGGCCCGAAATTATCATTAACATTAGCTGACTGTTCCAAATGCTGAGAGTGAAGTATCTAACTTTTCAGAAGTCAATGTGGATATCTGATCCTCAAAGTAGGGTTATGGAATGCTAGGAAACAACTAGAACTGAGTGGAAGAGTGAATTTTAGGAGGATCAGGTTTTTCTTCTTCCATTCATTATTGTAAAGAAATTTCCTACCTCTTCTCCTACCAAATACTCAGGGTGATGAGATGTGTTTGTCCACTTATTTCCTGAACAGTGATCTAAAATTGCAGGTCGCATCTGCTTATTGTAGGAGCGTGCCTGAAAAGAAAGATCATCAAAAATTATCTGAATTTATACAAGGAAGGGGGGGCAGTAAGTATAAGTGTCTCCTTTTCTCTTCTCTCTTCCAGACCAGATACAATTCCACAATCTTGTTTCCATAATTTTAACCCCTAGGCTATGATTCACAGCCAGTTCAAAATTAACACTATACTCTGCCTGAAGTTGAACACAAATTTATATACAATCCAGACTCATGTCCATTTCTAATACTATTGGTTAAACACATTAAACTGAAGAATGCAGTAAAAATAGCTTCCCATCAAGATCCTGAAATTATACACTCTCAGGTACAGTGTAATTTACATCAATTTGCCTTAAGAAATACCACCTTATAAATTATTTGGCCTGCTTAAGCATTTATGATTCAGATATTCCATAAATAGTCAGGAAGGGTTTATCTTCCTTTTTAAGGAAATCTCATCTTATTTCATATTGCATATTTGATATAAGGAGAACATGTGAATGACATTATAACAGTGGTAGTAGAAGAATAAATCTGAAGAGTTGACTGAACCTGTTCAGGGGACACAGGAATCCGTCTTGTACCATTTGACATCTTTTTAGACCATATTGCTTGATCCACCATTTTAAGGCCATTTTGTCTTTGTTCATTACTTTCAGGTTTCTGGAGAGAAAAAGATGAGCAGTAAAAAGGATTTAGGGAAAAGAGAAAGCAATCTGGCAAACTATTAATACTAATTTAACCCATCATTAGGAAACGCTTCCTCATCAACAAATAGCACTTTCTTAATATTTGTTATATGTATTAATCTTAAGAAGTCCAAGTAATCTTTTATTATAAATAAGTCAAAAAGGAATCCTCACCATAAACCATTTACAAAAATATATAACCTCAAGTGATTGAAAAATTTGGTAAAACTTTTCACAACACTAATCAAAGCATACTTTATATTTGTAAAGTATATAAAATACTTAATAAAATATTTCAGAAACTCTTCCATACATCTATATAATTCTCATGTCTACAATTTTGTAACAATGTCACATATGTTTTATTTTGATTATTTGAGTTATTGTGATATTATAAAGAAAACATTCATAAATATCTTTGAAATGTTATTGTTTTCTTTTGATCTATATTCCTTAAAATTATTCCCTAAAGTAGAATTGTATGATCCAAAGACATATAATGAATTATAGACTCTTATATGGGCAAGTTATATTTAAGCTTACAAATGGACTTAATTAGTCTGCTAGTTGTGCTAAAAATGGAAACTTAAGGTTTACTATCAGAATTACAAAAACTCTTAAGTTCCTGAAACTATCCTTGAGTTAAAAGTTGAAAGTTAAAAGTGGATTATGAGCCGGGCGCGGTGGCTCACGCCTGTAATCCTAGCACTCTGGGAGGCTGAGGCGGGCGGATTGCTCGAGGTCAGGAGTTCGAAACCAGCCTGAGCAAGAGCAAGACCCCGTCTCTACTATAAATAGAAAGAAATTAATTGGCCAACTAATGTATATATATATATAAAATTAGCCGGGCATGGTGGCGCATGCCTGTAGTCCCAGCTACTCGGGAGGCTGAGGCAGAAGGATTGCTTGAGCCCAGGAGTTTGAGGTTGCTGTGAGCTAGGCTGACGCCACGGCACTCACTCTAGCCTGGGCAACAAGCGAGACTCTGTCTCAAAAAAAAAAAAAGTGGATTATGATGCAATATAGAGATTTAACACCTATCACTAAAAATTTTCCTGTTAATTACCATCTATAAAACAGGGTAAAGTAAATGTTTACTATAAGGAAATATATTTTTTTGCCTTAAAATTGTGTTTTGACCTAAGATTGTAGCAAGTGCTTATTGTAGCAATTCCATTTACTAATAGATTTAAAACATGAATTTGATTGAAACCATAAGTATCTGGAAGAGAAGATATAGCTGCCAGTTTTTTTTTTAATATAAATTTAAAATTAAAAATTTTATAAACTGGCCGGGCGCTGTGGCTCACGCCTGTAATCCTAGCCTTTGGGAGCCGAGGCGGGCGGATTGCTCAAGGTCAGGAGTTCGAAACCAGCCTGAGCAAGAGCGAACCCCGTCTCTACTAAAATAGAAAGA